GAGGGACTCCCTTGCTTTAATGGAGATAACATTTGAGCAACATGAATTTCAGGGCTGACTCGCACAGTCCTTTTAGCATACTGAAATAGCCACCTGGGGGATGCTTTGGGGATGGAAAGGCGAGGTCCAAACGTCTTAACAAGAAAATAAAATGTGGTTTGTGGATGAATGTGAAATACTAGGACTGCCACTTGATTAAAAAAGAACTTCAGCCACTGAATTGTGTGAATTTTAATGGGATAATTGATTTCATCTACAGGTACCATCTCAGAAGAGACATTTTTTCCTGTGTGTTTAGAAGTTCTCTTCTAAAATGGCACCTGAAAAGCATGTATTTATAAGTACTTTAATTAAAAATAATTAATCACCTTTTTAAAATGCTGATTAATATCAGGGGCACCTTTTAATCAACTTTTAAAAAATCTGAATTAATCTAATTAATTAATTGTTATAGTCCTAGTAAGCAATGACTCCAGTGAGGGACTCAGCTCTGGAAACTCATGGCTAGGCTAATGAATTCTCATGGCATTGCATTCTTGGGTGATTTTATAACTCCATGCACAAAGGACTGTTTATGTAGTCTTCAAAACACCCAAGTCCATGGTGCAGCTATGGGGCTTTTATTTTAAAAAAATATTTCATTATCTTGTGGGGCTTTTATTTAAAAAGAACCAACTATGCTGAATTAATTGATGTCAAATGGAATCCATGAAAATTCTAGTTGTCAAGTAGATTTTCCATAGAAATCCACCACTCCAGACTGGAAAACAGAATGGAAGAACTCTTTCAGTCAGTTTTATGCATGCTGGTATATCCTTCCTTTGGACTTCAGTAAGCAGCATCTGTAAAGAACAGTAGTTTATGCCCTCAGGAATTCCTGAATTAACAGTGCAGTGTAGTCTTAAGAAGAATTACACCCTTCTTCAGTGGATTAAGAAGGGTGTAACTCCATTTAGGACTGCATTGCAAGCCACTTTGGTAATATTTGTGCTGCCAGTTCAGTAAGGATTAAACTACAGTTGATATTCTCTGCACCATCCCATGCTGAAAGGAAAGCTATAAGTGTCCCTTATTCTTTGTTACTGAGGGTGGAAGGAGGGAGGCTGGTGCCTTTGAAAAGGTGTTTTGTCTGTTCCTGTCCAGGAGGACACAAATGACAGTCTGATTCTTTTGTTTGAGTCATAATTTGATTGCAAATTTGAACAGCACTTTAGAATAATCTCAAAAAGTATGTTATTTATTGAGCACTGAGAATTGTTCTGCAAATGTTTGGTTCTCACACTGCTCTCCTACAGATAGGCCTTCACCCATCTAGGCCACAAAACAGTCCTGGGTGAGAAATTTGTGGCTCGCCTATTACAGTTGCCAAGTTTTGGATCCTGTCTGGAACGCTTGATGACGATGACCACATTCTGGCACCTTTTCAGTTCTCTCCATGTCTGATTCTTATTCCTTCTCACCCAAGATTACATCCTTTAACAAACAAACAAAAAGTTTTAAAACCCTTCATTCTGTATATCTAGGAAAGTGCAGCTAATTTATATATCTGAAGAGTGGAGCATCTACTGGAAATTTTCTTTGCCAGAGAAGAAACTCCATCTATTTTCTAAGTACACAAGAATTATTTGTCTCTGCTTTGGCTTTCAGGATGTGTTGAAAATTGGTAGGGGGAAATAGTGCTCCTCAGAGGTGGACTGAAGCTGAATCCTGTGTGTGGGGAGGAGCACGTGTGACCCAGTCATCATGAGTTGGGGGAACACCACATCGAGGCTTTCCAAGTCCTCGTCCATTGTCCCACAGCTCTGTGCTGATGTTTAACTGATGAATGCATAGAGGAAGGGGAATCAGGGCCAGGTCTGCTACCCCCCTAACCTTTATGCATAATGTATAAAATCTGCTTAAAAAGTGGCATATCCACTTTTAAACTAGAACAAAGTTTGAGTCCAGTGGCACCTTTAAGACCAACACACTTCTTCAGATACAGTGAAATGTAAGTGACCAGTCCATACATAGAGGAAGAGGATGGGCAGCAAATCAGCACACAGCATAATGAAGATATTTAACAGATGCAAGGACCAAACAGGAATAACAGGCTTAGGTTACCGTATACTTGGGTTTAATTCTGGGGGGAAACATAGTGAAGGAAATAGATATGTCAACATTGGAAATTGATGAGTAGATGCATCCTTAACTGTGGAATGCTGAGAGTAATTAACTGAGACCTTGCCATTATGCCCTATAAATCTCCTCTCAAGCATGAAGGTGACCTTACAGCATCTTCTTCTTTGAAGTGGGGAGACTGGCTGTGCAGTTATCTCCCCTGTCCCCAGACCAAAGAAATACCATTTCAAATTACATTACATTCTGCTGTTCATTACATTACATTACAATCTACTATTCTAAGCTACTATTTGAAACGAGATAAAATGGCCCTTCTGGGGGTTTGGTGAAAATAGAGATGTAAGGGCTGAATGAGGTTAGCATATGTAGCACAATAAGAAACCAATATCCCTGTTAAGTCCTGGGGATTCCATTGTTCTGAGTGTTGTAATAACTTGCAACTCAGCGATTTCCCTTTCTAGTCTGTTCCTGAAGTTCTTTTGCAATAAAACAGCCACTTTAAGGTCACCCATTGAACATCTTGTAAGTTGACCTGTTCTACAGGTTTCTCAGTCTTGTGATTCTTGACGTCAGATTTGTGTCCATTTACCCTTTGAAACTATATCCTTTAAAACTGTATTGTAGTTACTTTGTGGCTCATAGTGCCACCCTAAGCAGAGATACACGCTTCTAAGCCTGATTAGGTTTTGTTGTTGTTCAGTCGCACAGTCGAGTACGACTTTTCGCGACCCCATGGATCATCTCCCGCCAGGCCCTCCTGTCTTCCGCCGTCCTCTGAAGTTGGCTCAATTTCATGTTCGTTGCATCTATGACACTGTCTAACCATCTCATCCTTTGCCGTCCCCGTCTTCTTTGACCTTCAATCTTTCCCAGCATCAGGGTCTTCTCCAGTGAGTGCTCCCTTATCATTTGGTGGCCAAAGTATTTGAGCTTTAGTTTCATTATCTGGCCTTCCAGGAAACAGTCAGGGTTGATTTCTTTTAGGATTGACTGATTTGATCTTTTTGCAGTCCAAGGGACTCTCAAGAGACTTCTCCAGCACCATAGTTCAAAAGAATCTATTCTTCGGCGCTCGGCCTTCCTTATAGTCCAACTCTCGCAGCCATACATGACTACTGGGAATACCATTGCTTTGACCATGCGGACTTTTGTTGGTAGGGTGATGTCTCTACTTTTTATCATGCTGTTTAGGTTCGCCATCGCTTTCCTCCCAAGGAGCAGGCGTCTTTTAATTTCATGGCTGCAGTCACAGTCTGCGGTGATCTGGGATCCCAGGAACGTGAAGTCTGTCACTACTTCCACGAATTCCCCTTCTATTTGCCAAGGAGTGATGGGGCCGGATGCCATGATCTTAGTTTTTTTGATGTTGAGCTTCAAGCCCACTTTTGCGCTCTCCTCTTTTACCCTGAGCAAGAGGCTCTTGAGGTCCTCTTCACTTTCAGCCATTAGAGTGGTATCATCTGCATATCTGAGGTTGTTGATCTTTTCCCCAGCAATCTTAATTCCCGCTTGTGATTAATCCAGGCCAGCATTTCGCATGATGTACTCTGCATATATATTAAATAAGCAAGGTGACAATATACATCCTTGTCGTACTCCTTTTCCTATGCTGAACCAATCAGTTTATAAGGGTGTAAATAACTCTCCTTAGTATTACACTGTAAACTGTTAGTGGGCAGTTGAAATGGTGTGTATCTTACTGTTGAGAGAAAGGGGGGGAATAAGAGAGAGGAGAGAGGCCAGGGTGGAGGTTCAGCCGACCACCCTTTTCTCCCGCTTGCCAGCTGCAGTGAGGGAGGCCAGTGGGAGGCAAGAAAGCAACCAGAAACCCTGGGATCATGCTTGGACCCAGACCCTGCTGAGCACTTCTACTCTGAGCACCTTTATGTTAACATTTTATGCAATATCTGTCTTGGTTTTCAACTGATGGAAGTCCTGTTGGGAGCCAGTGCTTTTGGTTGCAGGGCAGGGTACAATGCAAACAGCCGGCATCAATACGGAACAAACAAATCATTCCTTAGCCGAGCCCCTTCTCTGCCCCGGCACGGCCTACTCCTTTATCCCGTTTACGCCGTTCTTGCTGCAAAGGCAAGCCGCCCTTTTCGCTGCTTTTCCGTCCCGCAGCTGCCCCCGCCACCCCGCCAAGCGACTGGAGCCGTGGCTTCCCCACCCACCCAACTCCCAGCAGCAGAGGAGAAAATATAGAGCCGTTGCTGACTCGCTGGCTGGCAGGCAAAAAAAAGAAGATAAAGAGGGCGTGAACGGCCGCTTGGAAGCAGGCGGCAAGTTCTCTGCAAGACTGCGGGTATTTTTTTTTCTTCCTCTAGCGGACATCCAGGGAACCGATTCAAGCAAATGCAGCTCAGTTCCCGAGGCTACCGCACTGCCCGGAGTTGTGCAGCGAGAGAGCGGGAACGGGGATAGGTGGGAACTGAATCCATTTTTTGTGGGAGTGAAGGAGAAAAGTCACCGTAGAGCAGCGAGACCTGGCAGCATCCATGGCCGGGAGATGGAGGAGAAACCCCGCCTCCCGGATGGCTGCCGATCCGCACCGCAGCCTTCTCTCCCTGCATCCTCCCCAAATGATGGCAGAAGCGGCAACCGACAGTGAATCTCTGCGCTTCCCGCTGACGGCCAAGCCCCCCCGAAAGGCGGCAAGCCGCGCTGAGTGGCTCCTTCATTGCGCCACTTTACATGTTACCGCTCTGCTGGCCTCCCATTGCACGCAGCCGGGCTTCATTTGCATACCACGGTGGGCGGCAGCCAATCCGGCTCAAGGCAAGGTGGCCCGCTCTGTAGATGGCATGGGCGTGGCTGGGCGCGCATGCGCTGTCGGAGCTTCCTTGTGCCCGGGCTTTGATTGCTGTAGAATTCTCGCTGCCTCTTCCCTCCTCCCCTCCCCGCGCTCTCGCCTGAAGACTGGGTTGGGTTTGGAGCAGAGGGAAGAAAAGGCAACGCACGGGGATTGCGTTTTCCCCCGTTCCTGCTTTCTCTCTCTCTCTCGCGGCTAGTAGACTTTGTAGATTCTTTATTATTTTTCCTCTTGCAGAAAAAAACCCCCTCTTCACCCTTAGCTGCTTTTTTTTTTTAAGCGCGCAGTTAGTGGCTTTTAAAGCATCTGTGCCTTTTTTAAAAAAAAGAAAGAAAGCCGCCGTTTTTATTTTATTTTTTTGCAAAGAGCAGAGCCCAGCAAGCAGTTTTCGGTTTGCGTGGGAGTTGTTTCCCGAGAGAGATGTCTTATCAGGGGAAGAAAAATATTCCACGCATCACGGTGAGTTCCGAAAAACGCTTGCAAATAATGCAGTCGGGGGTGGGGTTGGGGAGCGGCGGATGGGGATCAAGCCCTTTGTGTGCGAAGTGGCGAGAGGGGGGGGGGCAAAGCGTGCGGGCTCTTGCGATCGAGAGAGAACAATCGCGCCAATATCGCTTTTGATCAACCCGTGAATTAAACACACACACACACACAAATTTGCCAGCATTGTCGCAAGAGGCGGAACAATGGTTGTTTTGAAGTTGCCCTAGCGGCTGCACATCTGAAGTCTCCCGCTTTTCTCTCGGTGTTGTCGGTGGCCGTAGAGATGCTTTGCTCGCCACCTCGGAGCTCGTCAGGGAGACGGCAGGTTTAAGAGACGCGGTTGGGCTGATAGACAGGAGAGCGAGCCGTCCCACGCCGGCGGGATCGGACGAGGTTGGGTCCTGAGACCCGGCTTAATGCCTGCGAAGGTCTTCAGGATCTGCGCTGCTTAAACAAACCGGCGCTTACTTTGCAGCCCGTTCTGCTTTGAGGCTGAAGGGGGGGGGGAACCGTGTGGGTGGGTGATCTGTGCCAGGGAGAGATGGGGGAGGGCAGGTAGGATTGTGGATTGTATGTGCGGAGCAGACACAGCCCGGCTTTGCGCTGAAAGTGGCTAGGGCAGACATCAGGCGTGTGGGCAGCGTTGCCAACCGCGGCTACCCCATCCCCCCACTCGCTGCCTCAATGGGTGTGTGAAGTGGAAGGGGTGGGGGGAGTGGAGGGCTTGGCTGGGCTGTTGGACCCCCCCCCTTTCCTGGTGTGATGGCGGCTCTCTTTCCCACCCCCTTTACTCATACAAAGAAAGCTTTGCGAGTGGGGCTGCATGCAAGTGACAAGGCTGGTGTGTGTGTGTGTGTTTTCCTCCAGGAGGTAATGGCGCAGCTCAGGCAAGAGGAGCAGATGGGGGTTCCTCCATCTTCCATCTCCTTCCCCCGGCCAGGGGAGAAAAACAATGATGAGGGGAAAGGATGGGCAGAAATGATTCTTTATTGGTACAGGAGATCCCCACCCTTCTTTCTTCCAGCCGTGTTAAGACAAAATAGCATATATTTCTTCTCTGGGAGGATTCGTCTTGCCATGCAGAATGTCCTCTCTCTGTCCCTGCAGGGAATCCTAAGGGAGGGGAAAGGGAACAGTTACATAAAGTCTCACATTCATTATTGAGGGACTGGAATGTCATGGAAACATCCTCCGATGCCGAGTTGCCCCATTTACTGGTACCTTGGAGCAGGCATCGTACATCTTCACAGGAATAGGAAACACTGCTTATTATATTAACGTTATTTGCCAATAAGCATCCTCACTTTGATTTCCTTTACCTATATGACAGCGAGACACGCCCAGGGCGCATCTGTCATTGTGAGTCTCTTGTGGAGTATTCGGAAGTAGAGTGCTGCTTCTTATGAATGCATGTTTGAGAAGTGGCTGAAAGGGCTAGCATAGAGAGCAATCGTGATACAGCCTGGTTAATTTCATAGATTGGTGTAATATGTGGAATAAAACAGGAGTCCGTTGGCACCTTAAATATAAATTTAGCTCTTATGGTGCTGCTGGACTTCTGACTCATTTTGCTGCTACAGACTTACATGGCTCCCCATCTGTTATAGGATGTGGGATCTCTGTAAATTAGTGTTTTCTCTGCAATAACAGATTGGGAGACATTTTTTTAAAAAGGTGGCAAACGTTGGCGTAATGTTGGGCTCTAGTTGGTTGACAGTAATGAAGGCCTTCAGTCATATGATGTGTGGCATATTAATTTCTTTCCCCCTTTTTTCAAAAGAATGAATACGGTGTGTATCGAAGTGACTGTAGTAACATTGTAAGACAAAAGGGGAGGGGGTGGATGGGAATGCTATTGGGCTCAGTTTTGGTGTGTACAGTTAGAATAATGCTACAGGGTTAATGGAGTTACAACAATAGAAAGGAAGAAAACATGTGATTTAGCGCATATGCTAATTTGCCAGCAGCGGCATTTCTCAGTTTAACCAACAACAGAACTGGGGAATTGTAAAACCAGGATGGAGGCTGAAGTCAGTCTTGCCCAGTAACCTTCAGCCTTTCCAGACAACACTGCCTCTTACCCTAATTTGCAGTATGTGGATGTGCTTATACTTTTGTATACATATTGCTCCTTGACAGTGTTTTGTCTGGATTAGTCTTTCTCTCGCTGTCTCTTTTTGTTTCACTTATCCCTTTTCCTGCTTCTCTCTTGGCTGCTTTCCAAAATATCATACTGGCGCTGCAGATGCAACCTGCTTTTCCCAAAGCTGTCGTGTAGTTGCAGGTTACAACCTAGCAGCTGAAAAAGACCAGTGATCTAGACCTGAAACGTGGCAAGTTTCACTGTACTAGCATCAATTAGCAGAGCAGTCCTAAACAGAGTTGCATCCTTCTAAGCCTATGGTCTTGAATGGATTTAGAAGAATGTAACTCTGTTTAGGATTTTGCTGTATCCCTCATAATCCAGATTAGTAGCTTGTATCCAGGACACTGCAGAAGTGCCAGAGCTCAGAAGTGTCTGTAGAATAAGCTTCATCTTCAAAGTATTTGCTTGGAAGTCAGTTCAAGGAGACTTCACTTCTGTAGAAGTATGCTGGAGATTGCAGCTTATGTAAAGCAAGTCTAGACAGCTCAACTGAGTGTGCTATATCCTACTCTGCATTTTAAACCTAACTTGTTATAAATATATCCCAAACAGTGTTCCCTCTAAGCTGAGTTAGTGTGAGCTAGCTCACAGTTTTTTAGCCTCCAGCTCACACATTTTTGTCTTAGCTCAAGAAGGATGGCTCCAGATCAAACTAATTTATGCAGTAGCCAAATCGATCGCTCACAACTTTAATGCCAGTAGCTCACAAAGTAGAATTCTTGCTCACAAGACTCCCAAATATGAGATAGTACATATACAGACCCAACTTTTAAGATGATTTTAGGAAAGCAGTTCTGTCATCCTCTGATAGCTATATGGCCTGCCATACAGGATTGTTGTAATACTTTGTGTAGAGGGTATTCCTGTTTGCCACTTAAGTACTGTGCTGTTCCTTATTCAGTAAATTAAAACTGTGGGCCTGATCCTCTGGTATGGTCCTGTCCATTTGGTCTTCCTGCTAATGCCAAGGATTGCCACTTTTTAAATCATTTCTCCACTCTGGCATAGGGACTAAGGGAATGAACTGTGATCCGAGTAGTCTCTTGTTCAACTCGTACCTTTGCCATAAACCTGGAAGACAACCTGAGGTCAACCTTGCAGGGTTGTTGCAAAAATCATAAAATAAAGTGAAGGAAGCATTTGGAACACAGGCAGTACTATATAAAGGAGAAGGATTTATTGTGTAATATTGATATCCTAACTATGGAAACTGCTTTTTTGTGAGTCACTCCTATGGAGCTGGGGTAATGTATTAGTGTACCTCCTACTTGTGGTGGCTCAGAGGTTAAGATGCTGAGCTGCAGACCGGAAGGTCTCTAGCTCGGCAGTTCGAGACCCTAGTGCTGCGTGATGGAGTGAGCTCCTGTCTCTGGCCCCAGCTCCTGCCAACCTAGCAGTTCAAAAGCTAGAAATTACAAGTAGATAATTAGTTACAGCTTCAGTGGGAAGGTGGCAGCATTCCATGCACCTCGGTGTTTAGTCATGCTGGCCACGTGACCATGGAGAAGTCTTCAGACAGCGCTGGCTCTTTGGCTTGGAAATGGAGATTAGCTCTGTCCCCTAGAGTCAGATTCGACTGGCTTTTGAGCAAGGGAAACCTTAACCTCCCACTTGATGGGAGCTGATCTTGTGCATCTTGGAAAGGAAACTGGCATCCCGTTGGAAGACTGAGTACCAATTCTGCGGCGAAGGTCTATACATGAGTTGGGAATTCACTTGATTTTAAGAATACAGAGCAATCATTACATTAGCCTGCCTAACCTAACAAAAAGGAAGTTGCTTAAATGTTATCAACCTGTCCAAACTACTTATTTATTCAAATATTTATATCCCACTTTTCCCTGTGACTCAAGGCAACTTACAAATCATACTGAAAAGCATAATAGGGGTGTGCAAAAACAATCATTTTTTTCTGGCTCAAATATAGCCTCTGCAGACCATTGTAGTCAATTGTCCCCATAGACTATAATGTAGAATCGATCCAGAGGTATCTGGGGTTCGGGGGGGGCTTGTGTTTTTTGAGGTAGAGACACCATATTTGCAGCATAGCTGCTGGTGCCTCTCCTAACCCCCCCCCTCCCCAATTTTCAAAAAGATTGGATGAGGGGGTCCAGTTCTATGGGTCCCAAAAGGAGGTGTCCCCATCCTCCATTGTTTCCTATGGAAGCTTGGTTGTGAGCTGAACAGGAATCCTCTGAGCTGGCCTCTGAAATGTTGTGCATCAGTGCCCCCTAGTGCAGCTTAGAGGGACCTGTGTTCCCAGGTTCAGTCCTGAGCATTCCAGTTAAAAGGAACAGGTAGTAGATGTTGACTCTGAAGGGCTGGAGACCTGGGGGAGCTTCAGCCGATCAGAATAGACTACACTGACTTTGGGCAAGTTGTCTGAATCTGTATAAGGCTGCTTTGTGTGGAATGCCAGAGAAAAGGGTGGTCTGGGTCCTTTCTCTTTCTTTTTGGCAGTTCTGCTATATAATGTTGAGACTTGTTAAAAATGATGACTACTGTGATGCCTTTATATTGTGCCTAAATATACAGCATTAGACACAGTGGGCCTTTGTTATTGATGTGCCATTAATAGTCCCCTCCCTTAGTTTAGCTATTTATATTGTTGGGAAGCTCCTAGAATCAGTTGTTCACTTGCAAACCATATAAAATTCTGTCGTGCTTCTATCTGCAATTTAAAACCATTAAAGGAAGTAATAATTACTAATTTGTATGGCGCTTAGAAGCTTTGTTATTTTATATTGTGCTTTAATCTGGTTTTAATTGTATTTTATACTGTTGGAACCTGCCCTGAGCCCATTGAGGGGAAAGCGGGATATAAATACAAATAAATAAATAAATAACCATATTATGAGTGTGTTTTCCTGAGAAATAAGGGAGTATCCTGGTTACCACTTGTACTTATTTCCTCAATTTAAGGGCCTTTTCATATGTGAGGCTTAAAACAGCTCTGAGGTTTGACTTGTGAAGGTAAAACTTGTAGCCCAGAAAACTAATTTGCATTACAAATATCTCTCTTTGGTCTTTTCTTCCTTATTAACAACAAGCATTAACACAGCAGGAGAGAGGCAATGAGGTGTTTCAAGACTTACATATGACAATATCTAAAGGTCAATACTAACTAAAAAGGGGTATTTAATAAAACCCAGAGTATTATGCATAAATTCAAGCCATAGAGGCTAGTCAACAAGCATGGTGTGCGACTGAATCTTTTCTGCAGCGTTGTCGAGGCCAGAGGCCAATGCTACCATTATTTGTCGCTGACAACCATTATCTACAAAAGGACCACTGTATACCATTAACAGCCAGCGTAGTATATTAGTGAGAGTTTTGAAGCATCATAGTAAGAAAACCTGGGCTTTATTTTTACTTGGATGTTTTTAATTTTGGATTGTAAGCAACCTTGGCTCATGGGGAATGACTGAGTAAAAAAATGTTTTAAATGAATCAGTAAATTTAGCCATGAAGCTCAGTGGGTGACCTTGGACCAGTCTGTAGGGGATTTTAATTGATCAAATGGAGGAAGGAAGAACCCTAAGTTCTTTGAGAAAGGTTGAGATAAAAATAGGCCTCAAAGTGTGGTCTCATTGGGACCAAGTTCTAGCCCCTGTAGTTATTTGAGTGTCAAGGCCCAGTTTTGCATTACAGATGTGAGGGACTTCAGGCACAGAGTTTCATATCTGCAGCTCCCCCTCACAATTTCCCATGTGGTCAACCAAAATAATCTCTAATCCTGAGCACACTGCATGAACCAAGGCCTAAGGCCTCTTTAAACCACTTCATCCAGGCCTCACTGAGGTAGTAAACCTATCTTTGGGCCATACCATTTCAGGCTGTGTGATGACTTGTATGACTGAATACCTTTCCTGATCCCCCCCTCCCCAAAAAACCCTTGCATATAAATGTAGCATATCAGAGAAAATGATAGTAGACTATTCTTCTCCCTGATATATTAGATTTTCTTCATGGAGGGAATTTGGGGGGATAGCACTCATTCATTGAGTCCTTGCTTGAAGCACATTTAATGCCTTGGTAGAAGGTAGGCCTCAGTTTGAACAGCAAAGAGCCTAGTGTACCGAACGGGCACACTCTGGCAAACAAGACTGAGAACTTGAGGAGCAGGGGCACAGGAAGAACTTGGATGGGGACTTCATTGTGTGGATGAGTGAAAGGTTAGAGCCTGTTACTTGTGTGGTTGAGGTGTGTAACAGGGGAAGGCCTCTACAAAGCCTGTGTTGCTGCTGAGCCTGGCTGAGAGCTCAGTGTCCTCTGCCTGTGTCTCAGCCATAAGAATCAGTCAGTGGGCACAGCTGCAGTTCCTGACCTTTCAATGGTAATTTGGTTTGGTAGTAGGCCCTGTGCTGCTATAGCAACTAGTTGCTAACCAGGGTCCTGCATGCTTGGGATGAGGCAGGGTTTTGAGGTCAAGAGAGGGGACTTTGAGGACTTGGCACCTCTCATTTTAGGGATTAAGCACTGCTGATTTTTTGGTATATCTCTAGGCAAAAGGTTGTTTCTGATCCCGAGAGTTCAATTCTGAAGCTATTTTTTTATCATGCTACTGCAAGCAGCCTTACAGATGTGGACTTTAACCTATTATGGACGAATGTGGTTCCTGAGGGATGTTCATCCTTTTGTATGACTCTGAAAAAACCAATGAGATGTAGCAGATAGAGTGTTGGGCTGGAAAGACCTAGCTTCACAGTGTGAAGATTGCTGAGTGTTCTTGGTCCAGTCACTTTCTCTCAGCATAGCCTACCTCACAGAGTGGGTCGGTGTTGGATACGTTCTATTGCTGGACCATTGGTCTAGCCCCATGTCATCTGCACTGACTAGCAGGGGCTCTCCCCAGTCTGAGGAAGAGAAAGGTCTTTCCCCACGTTTGTTAACTGGGATTGAACCTGGGACCTTTTGCATGTAAAACATACACTCTGCCACTAAGCCATTATCCTCCTCTAGAAGTGGATTCCCTTTTCCCTTTCTAAAATGCCTGTTTATAACAACCTGGAAAATGTTTTAGTATGCCTGTCTCTTTTGGGTCTGGTCAGTGTCTGTGTGGGAGACCTCCTAGTGTTCCAGGATGGAGGTAATCAGGAATCTAAATGTAATGCATAAATATGTAATTTTTCCATAATGAGACAGTTTATAGTAGACACAAAAGGAACATTCTCCTTTAACCACCCCCGCTCAAGTATTGCTATGAAGGCAGTTTGGTGGCTGCTTTTCTATAGAAATTTCAGTTTCTTGTTCTGCCTAAATAACATGTTCATCTGGATGAAATGTAATAGCCTAAATTTTGGAGCTTCAGCTTAACAAGTGAATGTGGATTTATTTTTCTTGGAATACCCATAAAATAGGTGGAGAAAGCATCCCCTGAATTGGAACTGTACTAGAATTGGACAGAAAGGACTTGTTTGTGTTGCTAATCCCATGGCAACAGACTTCTGGTCAGTTTCCCTGACTGCAGTTGCCTCTAAATAAGCCAAGTGGTGACTTTAACCTTCTGTGGGTGTCTTTTAGGAAGTTAGGCCTACAATGGAGTTTAAAAATAATTCTTTATGGAAAACCATTAGCTTGCCTCACTGACTAAAAATAATTCTTTATGGAAAACCATTACCGTTGCTTGCCTCACTGGCAACAGTGTTTGCAGCTTTTCAGAAGCTGATTCTTTGAATGGTTTTTATTTTAATTGGTGACAGATATAGGTTGTTAAAAAAAGATCAACCAATGAGGTAAAGTAAAAACTCCTATTTTAAGAAGTAGGGAATGCGCTTTTATTTCTGCTTTATTGACAGTTAGTATGATGAAAGGCATCTATCTGCCTGCGGTTCTGAAGTACCATTTCATCTTTCCAGTTGAAAGTACTGTGCTTGACTTGTTTATGTGGAACACCCTTTGAATAATTCAGAGGGTTTTTTTCGCCCTCCCGCCTCCTCTTTTTATCTGGCACTGCACACTGTCAGCTTCCTCGCACGATAATTATGTATTGTATGATGTTCTCTTTGTTTCAGAGTGATCGCCTTTTGATCAAGGGTGGTAAAATAGTTAACGATGACCAGTCTTTTTATGCAGACATTTACATGGAAGATGGGTTGATAAAGTAAGTATCCATTTGTTTTTGTAGGGGAATGGGATGTGGGGAATGTAAAAAATAATAATCAATTGCACTGCAGAAGATATTTTAGCTTGCATAGCAAGGGACAAAACAAACCCCCCCAACCTGATATCTGGAGCTTATTATTGTGAGCAATGGAGAAATGTGAACGAAATACAATTTTAAGGTTTGTACTTCTATTCGCACTGCTAAGTTCCATTGAAGCAGAGTAAACCTGCATATTATCATGCTGTAAATGCTGATGGATATATTTAGGGTTTCTGTACAGGACAGTTGTTACCAGGTGCTTCTTAACAGCCCAATGAGGCCATCTCCTTAAGTTTCATGAATACTGTCATGATCATTTGTTTTTCTCTCTGATTTCTTCCCATGGAATGGGTGGCTGGGAATGATAATGAATGAGGCAGTGTGTTCCTTACTGAGTGCTGTTTGTTGGATATTCCTAGTCAGTCATTCAATAGTCAGTCAAGAACCTGTCAGAATGGCATCCTGATCTGCCATTAGGCATGATGAGATCTTACTTCCATCTTCACATTTAAAGAGATGGTACCAACCAATGGGAAAACCAGAACACCAATAAGTACATGGAGTGAGTGCTGGTCATGATCAAAGCACATTCCTTAAGAACTGCAGGCAGAAATTCTTGAGGTTTGGCTACTAACTGGATAAGAACATAAGAGATGCCAATGTTGGATCAGGCCAAAAGCCCATCCAGTCCAACACTCTGTATCACACAGTGGCCAGAAATACCAGTGCCATCAGGAGGTCCAGCAGTGGGGCCAGGACATTAGAAGCCCTCCCACTGTTGACCCCCCCCAAGCACCAAGATGACAGAGCATCACTTGCCCGAGTCCCTATCTATACCTTGTGGCTAATAGCCACTGATGGACCTCTGCTCCATATGCCTATCTAATTCCCTTTTGAAGCCGTCCATGCTTATAGCCGCCACCACCTCCTGTGGCAGTGAATTCCAAGTGTTAATCACTGGGTGAAGATGTACTTCCTTCTATCCGTTCTAACCCGACCGCTCAGCAATTTCATGGAGTGCCCACGAGTTCTTGTATTGTGAGAAAGGGAGAAAAGTACCTCTTTCTCTACCTGCTCTTTCCCATGCATAATCTTATAAACCTCAATCATGTCACCCCTCAGTCGTCATTTCTCCAAGCTAAAGAGCCCTAAGCGCTGGGAAAGCCCCACCAGTGACTATGCCCTGCAGTGTGTCCCCCCCATTTTAAACAGAGGCTTTGAGTCTCTCTCTCTCTCTTAAAAAAAAGCTTATTAGAGTTTTCTGCAGAACCAGCTACTTGATCTGCACCCTCCTGGCCTACCTTTGTTTGTGGGTAAAGGTATTCATTTGCATACTTGTCTCTCCTTTAAAAAAAATAAATATTGCATACACCAAAAGAAAATAATGAATCTTACCAAAATTGTACTTGCAGAAAATACACAAAATGAGAAACAAATTAAAATAATAATTTCAGAGGAGCATGTGCGAGAAAAATCTCCACTCGCTCATAGTGCCCCTTTCCTTGTTTTCTTTTTAAGGGCCAGAGTACACATCATCCCGGAGGTCCATGATTAGAACTCCAGATGTGTGATTTGGCCGTTTAAAAAAGAAAAGCTATCAGGAGATCAGTACGGATTGGAGCAGAGGAGGACTTTAACGCTTCTCTCCCCCGCACTAGTTCCCCATTTGAATGCCACTGGAGTGCATGAAGTCCTTGTAAATAAAAAGATGGCCAATGGCCTTGTTTTGATTCAGGTCAGCCTGCCCCTGTAGCGGCTTCCTTTCTGGGGTTCCAATCCTGGAACTCCAGGGTCGTGTATCATGTGGTCCCATGACTTTGGAAACTAATGGAGTCGAGTTGCTGACAGAAGAACATTTTCCATGTGTACGACATGCAGACATGAAATTTCTACTCACAACCTGTTGCACATTGAAGAGGCACAGGCCCAAGCATTCTTTCCCCATCCCCTGCCTACATTCAATCACCAACTCATGAACACAGTGCCTCCACTTGGAGAAAGTGTACACATCTATACTTCCTTCCTGTGATGAAAGACTAGCAGTGTTTGTGATCACTGGGACAGAGCCTATAGGCATACTTTTCATGCATAGATGCCCTGTTCATGAGTCTGATTGCTTATAGGTGGGGAGTAGGTCCATCCTCTTGTCCCTGCTGTCCCTCTATGCATTTTAATTCAGTGCATGTATGGGTGGTTTGTAAAAGGGCTGTGGAGATGACTCCTTGAAACACAAACTAATACATGGTGCAGCATGGCCTGAGTGGTAATGCACTATCGAAGCCTTGCTCTACTTATTGACACGAATTGGTAGGAAATAGCTCCTAATTATTCTGTGCCTCTTTACCTGTCTTCTGTGCTGGTGGAAAGTGCTGACATGTTGCAGCCAACGTATGGTGACCCCCATAGGGTTTTCAAGGCAGGGAATGTTCAGAGGTGGTTTGCCATTGCCTGCCTCTGCCTTCTTCGGACTCCGAGCATGTTAAAAACCCTGGCCTTCTTCAAACTCCTTGAGCATGTTAAAAAAATTCTGCTGGTGAAATGAGTAATGGGGTGCCGTCACCCTACAGCTGGTGTGAACCAACTCTTAATGAAGCCCTTCCATTCGAAGCTTGAGACTTTGACCCCACACCAAGTCCAATTGAAGTCAGTTGGACAAGTCCAAACTGCACAGGAGTTTAACTTGGAGTCTGTTCCTTGCTGTATATACTTTTTGTCATATTAAAACATATTCCAGATTTCCTAGTACTAAAATTCTTCTGGGAGGGGAAAGGACAGACGAAAGTTCCACCTGGATTGGTGCCTGGCTTGGCTACACGTTCAACACATCTGTTCTTTAACTCAAAATGGAGCATGTGCGAGAAAAATCTCCACTCGCTCATAGTGCCCCTTTCCTTGTTTTCTTTTTAAGGGCCAGAGTACACATCATCCCGGAGGTCCATGATTAGAACTCCAGATGTGTGATTTGGCCGTTTAAAAAAGAAAAGCTATCAGGAGATCAGTACGGATTGGAGCAGAGGAGGACTTTAACGCTTCTCTCCCTCGCACTAGTTCCCCATTTGAATGCCACTGGAGTGCATGAAGTCCTTGTAAATAAAAAGATGGCCAATGGCCTTGTTTTGATTCAGGTCAGCCTGCCCCTGTAGCTGCTTCCTTTCTGGGGTTCCAATCCTGGAACTCCAGGGTCGTGTATCATGTGGTCCCATGACTTTGGAAACTAATGGAGCCGAGTTGCTGACAGAAGAACATTTTCCATGTGTACGACATGCAGACATGAAATTTCTACTCACAACCTGTTGCACATTGAAGAGGCACAGGCCCAAGCATTCTTTCCCCATCCCCTGCCTACATTCAATCACCAACTCATGAACACAGTGCCTCCACTTGGAGAAAGTGTACACATCTATACTTCCTTCCTGTGATGAAAGACTAGCAGTGCTTGTGATCACTGGGACAGAGCCTATAGGCATACTTTTCATGCATAGATGCCCTGTTCATGAGTCTGATTGCTTATAGGTGGGGAGTAGGTCCATCCTCTTGTCCCTGCTGTCCCTCTATGCATTTTAATTCAGTGCATGTATGGGTGGTTTGTAAAAGGGCTGTGGAGATGACTCCTTGAAACACAAACTAATACATGGTGCAGCATGGCCTGAGTGGTAATGCACTATCGAAGCCTTGCTCTACTTATTGACACGAATTGGTAGGAAATAGCTCCTAATTATTCTGTGCCTCTTTACCTGTCTTCTGTGCTGGTGGAAAGTGCTGACAAGTTGCAGCCGACTTATGGCGACCCCCGTAGGGTTTTCAAGGCAAGGAATGTTCAGAGGTGGTTTGCCATTGCCTGCCTCTGCCTTCTTCGGACTCCGAGCATGTTAAAAACCCTGGCCTTCTTCAAACTCCTTGAGCATGTTAAAAAAATTCTGCTGGTGAAATGAGTAATGGGGTGCCGTCACCCTACAGCTGGTGTGAACCAACTCTTAATGAAGCCCTTCCATTCGAAGCTTGAGACTTTGACCCCACACCAAGTCCAATTGAAGTCAGTTGGACAAGTCCAAACTGCACAGGAGTTTAACTTGGAGTCTGTTCCTTGCTGTATATACTTTTTGTCATATTAAAACATATTCCAGATTTCCTAGTACTAAAATTCTTCTGGGAGGGGAAAGGACAGACGAAAGTTCCACCTGGATTGGTGCCTGGCTTGGCTACACGTTCAACACATCTGTTCTTTAACTCAAAATTCAAAGTGGAGCAGTCGGCAGCAGACTTGTAATTGATTGTAATGTGCTATGGACAGCTTCCATGTTTTAATGATACTTTAAAATATGAGCTACCTTTGGTCCTCAGCTGCGACTTGGCAGCAAACATATGCTCAGGTTCAGTTTTGCACATGTGGAATGTACAGTTCCATGTGGAACAGATCTAACTAATGTTCACAAAGCAATTTAGAGGCAATTGCAGAACAACACAGAGCTCTGAATTTTGCCTTAGAAGAAATGGTCACATACGTTTTTGGTTCCTGTAATCAATTTCTCAGTGTATTGCTCAAATCCCAGTTTATTCCACTGTAGTATCTGTCAGGCCATTGTTCAGAGAACAAACAAGGATTCAGTGAATGGTCTCTTCAGTTCAGTAGTTTGAGCTACAGAGTCTAGTTCTGTGGTACTGTACTAGAAACATGGCAAATGATAAGAAACAATAGATTCAATTCAATTTATTATGGGTCTATATGACCAAAGTCTTGACCAAGCAATAGATTCTTTAATTGTAAGTTACCTCAACCAGGACTCTGGAGAGATGGCATAGAAGTCTCCTCTAAGTTTTTATTTTTTTTTGGCTAAATGTATTTTTTAGCTAAATGTCTATTGCCTTCTGCTGCATCACTAGAGCAGTAGTGCTGGCAGTGTCTTTGTTGTTTGGACTGAGTTTGGCCCTGGTTGCCAAGCAAAATGTCCAGTGTTCCACTGTTGGCACATATGCTGGGGTTTGCCTACTCTTGGTCTAGAGCGTAGGACTCTGTAACCTTGCATTATATTGTAATTTTCCGTAGTTCATAGTCAGTCAAACACATCTCTGTTTGTGTTTATGTAGTCATGGATGTGAGCATGGCCGCTGGGTGGCTCCCATGATGAGAATAACAGTTGGTGAGACAGAGGTAGAAAAGAGTTGATTACATGCCACTGTTCTGTCCTTTCCACAGGGATAAAATTATGGACTGTTTCAATTGCAGCACATGACCGCATGGTCAGCAGTATTGCTGGAATGTTCTAGAAATGTGGTGTAGTAGGGGACCACATCTTATGGATGTGGGTTGTTAAGGCGCATCCTTGGATGTGTCTTTGACTCTGTGCATTATGACATTTGCATCAGACTCTGCTTGAAATTTCTTACTCAGACAAATCGGAGAGAACCTCATTGTGCCCGGAGGAGTGAAAACCATCGAAGCTCATGGAAGGATGGTGATCCCTGGAGGCATTGATGTCAACACTCGCTTCCAGATGCCTGACCAAGGGATGACCTCTGCAGATGACTTTTTCCAAGGAACGAAAGCTGCTCTGGCTGGAGGCACCACCATGATCAGTAAGACCTATCTGTCTAATCTAAAAGTACAGACCAAAAATGTTATAGGCTTGTAAATAGTAGAAAGGTCCTGCAGCTCTTCAGGCTGGTAAGGATTTGGCTTCAAGTTGCCTTTTTAAAGGCTAAAGGTTCCAAGCAGAAAACGTAAGCCTCAAGGCTGTGGGTTTGTGGCTTCTTCTCATCAAGGTGGTCAGCTTGTGTCTGGGAAGTTCCACTCCAGGTGCCACGTGGGAGCTCACATTATGGAACGCTTCCATATGAAAGATTTAAAAACAGGATTGTTTTATACGAAACCTCACCATTTTAGAAAAGAAGCTGGGCTTGGATTGCTGTCCCTTGACGTGCAAGTTTTTGTGAGAAGTTATTTTATACAGAGAAGGAGAATGCAATTAGTCGACCCTTTACCTCAGTTTGAAATGGAACAGTCTGGATGTGAGTTGATTGCCTCAGAGGCTGGTCTTTGATAATTTTAAAGTCCCCCCCCCCCAATTTCAGATTGCTGAAATTTCTAGAGGGAGCCCAATGGTAGAAGAAAACAGGGTCTCTTTAGTGCAACCTCCATGACATTTTCCTTCCAAAATCCCCATATGGTATTCCCCCCCCCTCTCAATGGGGTAATAGTGACTTGTAGGTGGCAATATTTTTTGGGGGGGGACATGTGGGAGTGTCTGTGGGAGATGGGAATAAGGAAGGTAGAACTCTTTTAAATCTCACTATATTTCATGAGTATTTCAGGAGGAATGTGAATGCATTTAATTTCCAGTTTATTGGAAGGCTGGGGAGGGATTTGAGTCCAGAGAAGGCAACTGAGGAGCAAGGGGGAGAGGTGCTTGAGGAGAAATGGGAAGGTAGGGGGAATTAAGCTATGCAGATGTCTGTTTCTCCTGTGTTGATGGCCCATAGGACATGGGAGACTTCCCTTAGTTCCTTACCCACTGGAAGATGCTGACAAACCTCCACCCTCCTTGCAAGGAGCTGCCTTAAGGGTTTTGTGCCAGAAGTTGGCGGAGAAATAGTCTAAGTAAGTTTAACTGATTGTAGTTGGATTCCAAGCAGGCTTACTTGGGATTGCAGTTTTGATTCCCTAAAGGTGAAAGCCAGATTCTTGGTCCAAAGGCTTACCTACATACTGAGCAGCAAACCTGCCTGGGTTTAGAGCCCTGGTCGTAGCTTCTGTGCTGTGAAGTGCATGGGTGGGGTGGAGTGATGTGCCAGAGAGAAGCAGGGGAGCCCTTTCGTCAGCTGCTGTTTCCCCTTGTTCCCTAAGAGAAAAGCACCCTGGTGGTGGTGGGGGTTTCAGGGAAGGGAGGAAAGGGGAAGCACCCACCTTTCACTGCTTCTCTTGCACAGATTGTACTTCCCCCCTTCATAGCTGGAAAATGGCAGCTCAGTTTCCCAACTGTGTATTTGCTGCTTAATGCTCAGGGGGTGCCTTGAGACTTCAATCCTGGCTCTTTCATGATGCCTTCAAACCATACCAAAGGCATAAAAGTGGATATTGAACATGATTTCTCAAAATGTCTCTTGGCCATCTCTGTTTTGGCATTGGTGCTCCATATTGCTTGTGAAGTTAGCAGAAAGCATGCACAGCTGCCTCCATCCTGTTTAGAACATAGGAATAGGAGACATCTTCACTATTTTAGCAGTGGGGGAGAATAAGATGAATAAGATCTGCCTCAGCTCAAACATTTGAAAGGTTTCACCTCTGTAAGCTTGGCTATCAGCTGTTCCACTAAATGATAGCATTCCTATAACAACAACAGCAACAATATCTGCAGTACAAAGCTGCATCTTCCTTGGTGGGTGGCCTGTGTTTCCTAAAATAGGTGGAAGAAGTTGCAGAAATAAAATTGTATTTTAAGAAGTCAGTTTAAAAAATAAAACAAAACTGCAATCTAGCATTAAAGTCTTAGAGTTGTCAGTTTTGTTACAGGCCCTCTTTTTTATTGCTAAGCAAGGAGTCCAGAAATTGCACTTCTGGACAGAATCTGTTTCTTTGAATATCACGTACAGTCATAATAATTTCAGTTGCCTTTTGAAAGTGACATTCTAAAATGTGGTCATGGAATACAGAACTGTGAATAAACTGTCCAGAAGTTCTGTGTCCCATGTTGTCTTTCTTGTTTCTGAAATCTGTAAACATTGACCCTTGCACACTGGTTTAGGGATGTACATTTTATTTAATAAAGCAATTGCTTAAACTGTGAAAAGTGTTTAAATTATAACATTAGGCAGTTCACATCCATCTACCCACATACATATTGTCAGCTCCACTATTGATTTTTGTTAAGAAAAAAACAAACATGCTAGTGTGTGAGTTTCGTCAGATGGCTATCAGTATGGTTAGCACTAAAGAACATGTGATCCTGTAATGCACTAAGGAGTAGTAGCTTCTGAAGTAGTAGAATGACAGTAATTTGTTTTGTTTATTTATTCATTTACTTTGACAGTTTACCGCTCGTGCTAAACTGTTGTCAACATAAACCACGGTTTGTGAACTTGCTTCAAACCGTGGTTTCTGATTCTGCTTACTTGAGCGGATTGTAAACCACAGCTTGCCAGTATAGACATCACACCAAGCCATGTTTAAGCCTCCTTAATTTTCCATGGTTGGGAGTGATGTATGGTCTGAACTCCCCCTCTAATACAAATTACGCAGTATCTTTCTAATGTTTCATTCTTTCCTTTCCATCTGGGTTAATAATAGTAGGGGTCTCCAGTCTTTCTTAGCCTGTGGGAATGTTTGGAATCCAGATACAGGGAAGCAGACGCAGCCACAGAAAGGTTGCTGCAGGAGGTGGAGCCAACCACAAAATGGCTGCCATGAAAGATGGAGCTTACCACAAAACATATGGTGTTTAGATGTAAGTGGTACAATGAGGCTCGAGATAGATTAATTCAACCTCTTATTAAAGAGTTGCCTGGGCAGACTGACTCGGAGTGTTGTAATAAAATGTTATCGGATGAAAATCACTCTATTACTAAGATTGTGGCTAAATTTTGGGTGGTATGCTGTTGCATTCGAAAAGGACAGCTTAACTTGTAAAATCGCAATTCTCTCCTTTTTAGTGTTTTTTTTTTAGTGAATCTGTTATATGTATTCCACATTTATATATTGTGTAGTTTGTGATGTTTTAATTTGGTGCCCCTTGGTGGGGTGTTTGGATTGCTTTGGCTGGATGCCGTAATAAAATTTCATTCATGTAGTGAGGTCAAGCTGTCTCTAATAGTAACATTTGAGGCAGAAGCTCTGCTTAGCAGGATGACTTTTAAAATGAACATATTGTTTACTTTTTTTTTGCGCACATGTACAGCTTACTTTCAGTCATGCAGAGAAGGTCCTCGTGCTGTTGTGGCAGCTATTGCCAAAAGCAATTTTTTAATCTGCTCAGCCAGTCAAAAGCCCTGCTGGCCAAAGCCCTACCTGTCCCCTCCCACTTTCTAAAGTGGGATCTTCTTCCATTCCGCAGGGCCTGTAAGACGTCAGGCCTTTGGTTGAGGCAGCAGAAGTCTTTATATGGCCTCCCTGAGGTGGTTGTCATCTCTCCATCTATTAACCCAAACATTATGTTAAAGAACCATACCAGCAGCGACTGTCAGAACTGTGGCTGAGTTTTAATGTTTATTATTGTTTGCATTCATAACTTGTTTAATTTTAATTGTATGTATTGTACTGTGCTTATGATGTAAGCTGCCCCGAGCCCGTTTACGGAATGGGCGGGCTATAAATACAAATAATAAATAAATAAATACTCTTGCAGGCCAAAGGAAAGTTATTGTTGGTAGCCACGTTGGGGACCCCTGATGATACGCTAACAGTTTCTATTTACTTGTGCTTCTGCAGATCCAGCAGAAAGGGGGGGGGGAATCTAATGTGTGAAGTCATGCAAAAACCTCCTACACAGTTGGAATTGTATCATAAAATGAGTTCATAGGCGAGATCCGTATGTTAGTACTTTTTACAGAGTAACATTGTGGTTTCCAGGTATGCAGATAGGCAAATGAGTGTACCCGGGGTATTGCCAGAATGTTGCAAGTTGTGTTTTTCTTTCTTTCTTCAGAATCTGGGTCTAATGAAGGGAATTGGGTAAACATATACAGATGCACATCACCTTGCATGTTCCTCTATTGTCAGGTATTTATGGAGAAGGTGGCTGCATTTATAGCTACATACAGATAATTAGGATCCTAATCATGTGTTTTATTCAAGTGTTAAGTAAAACATACCCTGATTTTATGGTTTTTCAGGATACACATTTTTGAAATAATTTTTTTAGATAGGACAAGTGGGGACCCACGATACGTGGGGTGGTGGTGGAAATCCCTCCCGTAATCACTGCTGATTCTCTTTGAGATGGGATTCCCGGGGGGGGGGTGATGACACATGGGGGGATCCCGTATCCTGGCTTCCAGTGCCAACCCTGGTGCAGCTCTTGAGCCTGGTGTCCTCTTCTGTCATTGTTAGGTCTGGCATGGCTGCTGATAGGGTTGCCGAATGAACTCACCTCTGCTGGCGGGGGACTTTGTGCTGTCTCCCGGCGTGTGTGCGCGCGCGCCACATGCACGTCACAGGGAAGTGACGGACACGCTGGGGGCAGGGCACAGCCATTTGAGGGGAAAACATAGTTTTCCCCTCAAATGGCTGTGCCCCGCCCCCAGCGTGTCCCGCGTCATGACGTCACTTCTCTGTGACGTGCACGCGGGGGTGGGGGTTCCCCCAGGGCCCGATTCCGCGGGGGCGGAAATCGGACCTCCAAAGCGGGGGAGAAATCCGCCCCCGGGGGGATTTGGCAGCCCTAGCTGCTGAGTGTCCTCTGCTGCCATAAGCGGTGGAGGGGGATTCCATATCTTCCCCCCAGTGCCAAGCCAGTTGCAATTCCTGAGCCTGGTGTCCTCCTCCACCTCTGCCAGGCCCAGGGTAGCTCCTAGCCTGCTGCGCCTCTGCCCCTGGACCCAGCACAGCTCCCTCCCCCCAGTGCCAAGCTTGGTGTGGCTCCTGA